ACCAACTCATAGATATCAACATCGTCAAAATCTTCATATTCTGCAACCCAGTGCCTACATTTCTAGGAGATATCCTACACTTTTTTCACACTCGTACAATGAGGAAAAGAGGTGTTCTTATGTGTTGCACTCCTCTCTTGGCAAGATGGTTTATTTCTCATCTTCCCCAATCTATATTAAAAAATGAGCAAGGTTCAAGGTGGTCACAAAGGTTGATGACGCTCAAACATTCAGACATTCATTGGTGCTCCCGGTCCAAAGAGAATGTTATCATTGTCGACCGTTATGGAGAATTTCCTAATGTCCCTTTACTTGGGATTAGGGGAGGTATCACCTACAACCCTTGTTTGGCCTTAAGACAGTTTGGTTATGCCCGAAGGTATGGCTCGCATGAGATGCTGATTCAAGGTTTGGTATTTGACTATGATAACAACGATCAAGGTCTTCACCAGAGATTTATCCGAGCTTGGAGGATGTTGAACAAGGTGGATAGCAAGACTTTGGGGCACAAGAATTACATCCCTCTTGAGCCTTACCTTAAATGGGTATGAACTCGTGCTCAGAGTCTTATGAGGCCTTACCCCTCCATTCTCCTGATAATCATTGAGCCTGTCACGGAGGGAGATGTTCCATACACTATCCTACATCCTGACATGCCCACATCTCTTGAAGATCTACAAAGGGATTGGATACAAATCAAAGGAGAGCGAGATACTTTTGAAGCCCAATTCTACGCAAGAGAGAAGAAGGTTTTGGAGCTTACTAGGCTACTTCATGAGGAGCAGGCTCTCAATGCCTACATTGCATCAAAGAGGATGCGCACTACCTTTCTATCTTAGAGTTTTGTATTATTTTTCCCAAGGAGAATTGATGTACTCAAACTTTATCTTATTAATATAACGTGTGTTTCCTTTTTGTCTAAAACAAATTTGAATCTTTTAAATCCTTGAAAACATTGCATATGCATATACCATTCATCATAACTTAAGCAGGTCTTTTGCAACAAGTCTCCTTATCTCTCTACTGTTTATTTCAGTAAGATGGATCTTGAGCAAACAGTGAAGGATCTCCAAGCTCAGAATACGCAGTTTCAACAGTTTCTCTTGACCCTAGCTAAGGGACAAGGAGAATTGAAGACTTTGCTGGCATAAGAGAGGAAAAAGAAAACCAAGAAGGTGACCGGAGTCTTAAACATGGGAAGAAGAATTCATGGGCAGACAAGAAGAATTTTGGACTTTGCAACAACATCCTGTGAAAGAGACAGCCAAGATGGTAAATGAAAGGAAATAGTTATCCTTCCAGAATCAGAGGAGGAAGAGGAAGAAGAGGACTACTCTGAAGAACAATACCCTTCAGCAGATGACAAGTATAAACATCTCGTAGAGCGGTTGAGCGCGATGGAAATCCAAAAGGTGCCTGGCTTGGACTTTGAGGAATTGGGTTTGGTGTCGGGGATTGTGATTCCTCCAAAATTCAAAGCACCTGTATACGCCAAGTATAACAGCGTTTCATGCCCTAAAATGCATCTCCAATCATACATGAGGAAAATCCAACCCCATACCACTGATAAAGACTTATGGGTGCACTTCTTCCAAGACAGTCTGTCTAGGACTCAACTTGACTGGTTTTACCAACTAGAAAGAGTCAACGTTCACAATTGGGAAGATCTTGCTGCAGCTTTCTACAAACAATATCAGTACAACGCTGATCTCGCGCCTACCCGTACTCAACTCCAGAGTATGGACATGGCTTCCAATGAGGGTTTCAAAGACTATGCACAAAAATGGAGAGATTTGGCTGGAAGAGTTCAACCCCCTCTGTCTGAGAGAGAATTGGTAGACATGTTCTTGGGCACCTTGTCTGGTCCCTTCTTCAATCATTTAATCGGAAGTTCTTCGGCATGATTTACTGAACTAATATTGACCGGAGAGAGGATAAGAGCCAGTATAAAGAATGGAAAGATCCAGAAAGACGCATCTTCTTCTACATCTGTAAGGAAGCCTTTCATCAGAAAGAAATAGGTGGTTGCTGTGTATCCACAAAGAAACCAAGATAGGGGCGAGCGTCGACCAATGGTAGGGGCTGTTATGATTTCTAAGCTTGCGTCTGATCAGCAAAGAAATAATCAACCAAGGGTGGAAAGGCTAGTCAGGAAGTTCACCAGAATCAACATGACCCCGTCTCAAGTATTATCGCATCTACTAAGATCCAACTTGATAACCTTGAAAGAAGCTCCGAAAAACCCCAATACAACATCTCCTCATTATCATCCCAATGCCCATTGCGCATATCACTATGAAAGTCCTGGTCTTGATACTAATAATTGTTGGGCTCTAAAGAACAAAATACAAGACCTCATTGAAGCAAAGGAAATTAAATTTGATGCGCCTGAAAAGTCGAATGTCATTTCTGCCCCTATGCCTAGACATGGCCACAATACCAATGCCGTTGAAGAAGGATTATTTGTTACTTAAATTGATGGACTCATGACCCCACTTTTGACTATTAAAATGAATTTTTTGAATGTCGGTGTGTTCCCGGGCTGTGGTGAAGTTTTCCATCTCTGTTTGTCCTCCCCAACCGGCTATCCTTTGTTGAAAATAGGCGTTCAGTGCCTAATAGATAACAAAGAAATTTTGTTTGAAAAGACTCATGTTTCACCTATACCTTTTGAAGATGTTTCTATCATTACCATTTCCTCTAATTCTTCCAGGGTCTCCACCAAAAGACCCGTTAGAATTACATCAATTCCAAAAGCAGCTCCTTTAATAATCATAATGCCTGGACCAGTCCCATATGCGTCAGACAAAACCGTGCCATGGAATTATGGAGGGGATGTCTATTACCATGGTATTAAGCAGGACTGGCCAGCCGCCAAAGATTCAAGCTCCGAGAAGGTCAACTCCGACATCAGTAATATTGCAGGAACTAGCAAAATTACCCGAAGTGGTTGGATCTTTTCTCCAGAAATTTCTCCCTCAAAAGCAGTTTCTGGACCCGTAATCATTCCTGTTGTTGCTCCCCCAAAAGTTGTTTTCGGTCCTACATTTATCTCCAACAATACTCCGATTGACAAAGCCGTTACAACTCCTATAATCATTCCTACTGACACTCTTCCTTCCGAGTTAACCGAGACTCGAGGAAAAGGTGTTCTGATTGAGTCTGTCCGAACGAAGACTCAGTCATTGACTATCCTTGAGACCTCCAAGAAAGAAATGGAGGAGATCTTAAAAATTATAAAGAGAAGCGACTACGATGTAGTTGAACAACTGGGGAAAACTCCCTCTAAGATCTCCATGCTTGCATTACTACTATGTTCCGAGGTACATGCAAAATCCTTGGTGAAGTTCTTAAAAACCGCCCATGTACCTCAAGAGACACCTACTGATCAATTTCAAGACTGCGTAGCCAGCCTAACTGCGGACAATGGCTTAGGTTTTTTAGATGCTGATCTGACGCCGAGGGGAAGGAAGCATAATGAGGCATTGCATGTCTCATTGGAATGTAGGTGTAATACCCCAAATTTGTCCTACCCTTTTACTTCCTATCTGGCTTACGCATTTTTTCATTTTTTTCCACATATGTAATTTCCATTAGGTCATCTAACACATCATGCATCATTAATCAACAAATTGGCATAAAATCATGGATTTCGAGGAATAAGGGTTGGTGTATGGCTTTTTCTCTAACACTATGGACTTCTTTTAGTGATACAATTTTTGGTTCTCATCAAATACTTGCCGCTTCAATTGTGAGTCATCCCAAGGCTATCTCGAAAGGCTGAAAGCTTAAGCAGTGAGGAACATCGTCTTATACCTATCACCTCCACATGAATGATGATTTATTTCCATGATCATATAAATTTCAAAGGGGTTCTATAATTACTTAAAGTGCAAATGGTTGAAGATTTTGATATATCCATGGGCATTAAGATCTTGTTCAAGGATGCTTCAATATATCATACAAAAAGGTTATCATATAAGAAAATCGTATCTTTTACGGGTTAGTATTTCAAATGGTCCTTTCTTCATCAAATAAGGTTTAGCTATTCCTTGAATCTCAAGGCATATGTTCACGAGCTCTAGGCAAGAGAAGAAGATTCAATGGGATACTATTTGCCAAATTGGAGTTTGTACACTTTATGAGGCAAAGCTCTTCGTCGGGTCTATTCGCTTACTTGTGATATAAAATGCTTTAGGGGACTTCATTTCTAATACATTAAGATCAAAATCTAAAGCTTCTTCAAATATGGTTTTGAAGTGAGGATTAAGAAAGATGTGAGGCTCGTTCATTCATTTGAAGATGTTTAGGCATGCTTCCATTCAAAAGTAAAGAAACTCGGCACTACAAGATTGTTGTTGGCAAAGGCTCTTATCAAATTCATATCACAACCATGGAGTTATATGCAACATAAAATTAAAAGATATTGGAGATACAAAAGGAAATTTGAAAGAGAAGACTACTTGGAATATTTGGGCTTCATCATTAAAATTCAAGGGTTCACATTCATTCAATGATATAATCTTTACAAGTTCTAAAGCATTACTCGTGATTTGTCAAAGGGTTATCCAAATTCATTCTCGATTCATTCGAGGTCATAACCATGCAATTTACAAGCGGTATCATTAGAACATTACAAGAGAAGATTTCAAAAGGGCGTTTACATCCAAAATTACTAAATCAAAAACAAGAATTTACATTAAATATTCAAGTGGTCTAAAGCTAAAGAATTCTAAATCAAGGTCTCCATCAGTTCTAAACTTATTTATCTTCAAGCCACTATCTTCCAAGATTGCCCCATTCCAACCTGGTTATGTCCAAGCCTCAGTCCATGTTTCATACCAAAAGAAAACCTGCATAAACAACTATTTTCCAAGCCAGTTCAGTACCAATATGTAATCAAGTTAATTTAATTTAAAATACAAAAATCAACAATTACACCAAGTATTATGTGCTTAAAACAAACCGACATAGTTTTAGAAATATACTCATCCATTTTGATGATACATCTGATGGACTCCCCCTTTGAGCATGTAATCAAAAGCTTTGAAAAAGGTACTCTGTGGGTAATGAATTTCTCCAGTTCCAGCTCCTACAGCAAGTGTTAACACATTAACGATACAAATAACGTATCATTCTGCAATACTAGTTAATCCTCCCACAATAATGCAGTTTTTGATGTCAACTGGATTAAGGATGATACACAGATCCTCACTGCTTCTGGTGATCAAACTGTCAAGGTATGGGATGTTCAAGAACAGACGTGTCTTGGAGTGTTAGTGGGGCATTTGGGGAGTGTGAAATCTATTTGTTCTCATCCAACTAATTCTGATATTCTTGTCTCTGGTTCAAGAGATGGATCCTTCCGTCTTTGCGACTTAAGATGTAACTTCACTGTGAAGAATAGACGTGGAGAATGTAGCATAAGTTCGATAGCTGATGTCAAAGGAGCACACGATCCATCTCAAGCACAACGAGTAAGGAGGTGCAAATCTAAGGGTGCTTCCATGAGTATTACATCTGTTCTTTGGCTCAAGGATCAAGTTTCCATAGCCACTTCTGGTGCAGCGGATAGTGTGCTGAAGTTTTGGGATACCAGAAACTTTAAAAGTATTGTCACCCAGACATGTCCTCAACCGCAGTCAACGGAAAAGCAAAGATTACATGGTATTTCTAGCTTGTCCCAAGATGACAGTGGAGTTTTACTCTCAGCTTCCCGCATGGATAGCCGAGTTTATCTATATAATATACTTCAACTTGAAAAAGGGCCTTTAAGATATTTTGGAGGAGGTCGCATTGATTCATTTTTTGTAAAGGCTGCAATTAGCCCCGATGCATCAAACATAGTCTGTGGTTCCAGTAACGGGAAAGCATATGTTTGGCAGGTTAACAAACCTCAGGTGGAACCCACTATTTTGAAGAGTCACTTCGAGGAAATTACTGCAGTTGACTGGAGCCGCTCTGACCATGGGAAATTAGTAACTGCTTCTGATGATTTCACAATCCGGATATGGAATAAACGCAATTATGCTGCCACACCAGTTATTCCATTTGCCATCCGAAGAAGATTTATGGCCATGCCTAAAGTAGAGTGCAAAATGCTCTTAAACAATGAAGAAATTTGCCCCAAGTCCATTGACGATGACCTATTATCTGATGGAACTCTGCACAACCCAATAAAGTCAGTGATGCCAACGACCCCACCTAAAATTACTACACCTGAAAGCCATAAGAACCAACTTTCCATTTCCCAAACCATAACTAACTTCCATAACCCAAAAATTCTAACAGCCCTGTAACTATTAACAAAACCACTAACAGAATCACCAACTGTAACTGAAAATAGTCTAACTAACTACTAACCTCTAACAAACCAAGCCTAACAGAATCTAATCTCTAACTGTCATAATAGAAAAACTAACAGAAATATCTTAGCAACTGACTCTAACTGTCTTAACCAATTTTTGCCAGCTCACTATAACTAACTCATGAGAGATTCAATCCCTACCATTCATTGCTCTAGCCGATTCTCAAATTCAAGGGCCCATATTTGTTCACCTGTAACAAACTTAGCTGCTATATAACAAAGCCTGCATTTCACAATTTAGGGAGAATTCATTTACCAAGATTCACAGAAAATCACAAAAACTCACCTTGACACTCTCTGAAAATCACACCATTGCACCTGTTTTATTCCTCTGCATCCTCTTCATCTTCATCACATCAATTGTCTTCATCTTCTTCATATCATAGCGTCTCTATCAAGTTCACGGAAACATCAATATTTCACAGAAGCGAAACAAATTCGGAAATGCAAAAAGAACAGAGAAGAAGAAAGAGAAAGATATCATAAGAGCTTACCCGACCTGTTTCTTGAAGGATTCTCTGGATTCTTATTCCGATTATCAGCAATCAATGAAACACCGTCGGAGCGTCTCCGACCGGTAAGATCTGGAACCTCACTTTTTTCGTCTTCTTCATGGCTTCTTGATGCGAGTATGTAGAGAAAAGCGTGTAGACTAACGGCCCTATGGTGGCGCATGCTAGAGTCCATTCATCCTTGTTTAATTTGCATCCTCGGAGATTGAGGGTTTATGTGTTTTTGATAAGATTTAGAACAGGTGAATTGAAACTAATGAAAAATGTTGACCGATTCTTATTGAGAGGGTTGAGATAAAGAGATTGGAGTGCGATTTAAGCCTTGCGGTCATTTGGCGGTGGAATTTACGGAGGAGAAGGCTCACCGGAAATCGCTCGAAGAGACTCATTTTTGCAAGGTCACATGGATAATCAAAACGCAACGTTCTGGCTTTATCATTATTAAATTTTTTATTCCTTGTTAATTTTCTTTTTTTCTTTTTTGTTTAATTACTTCCAATTACATTTGGATAGCATGGGCCATAATTCTATTGGTACTACCAGTACTACTGCTTGCACCCTTATCTAGACCCAAGACCATATCTTAACCCATTGCACTATTTTTGGACAAACTGAATCTTATATGACAAAAAATATAGTTAGGCCTTGTGTTGGATGCGCTTAGTATTGCATTGGGCTTAGAGGTTGCTGATTCTAAATATATATATATATATATATATATATATATATATATATATATATATATATATATATATATATATATATATATATATATATATATAAAGAAATTAATAAAAAAATTAATAGAGGATAATAGAATTTTCCCCACGAAAAAACTAATAAAAATACTTTTTCTTTTAGTTTTATTCATATTTTATTATGTTGTGCCTCGTTATTTTTGATACGTTTGTTCATTGTGCGAGGAATTTCTGATTATGCTTTGCATTTGCAATACGCGTTCGCTTTTATCTTAGTTAAATATTGTTTCTGACTCTGTTCGTTTCTTGGTGAAGCTTGCTCGACGCGCACTCCTTGATTTTTCAGTACTTTTGATTCGCTCTTGACGACTTGCTCACTTTGGTAGCCTCCGCTGCTACTCTTACACTTCTCTTCAATTTATTGTAATTCGTTATCACTTCATAGAAATCATGAGAAATAGGGCGTTATCGCAAACCACATGCATGCTAACATTATGTAGAATTTCCTAGAAATTCTAAACTTTAGGTCTAACCACGCATGATAAAATTAGGTTTAGAAATAGGTTAATTCCCCTTTAACTTTTCTTTCCTTTTCGCATACGCATCTAAAACAAAAACTTCTTTTTCTTTCAAAATTCAAAACACTTAAAAACTACTGATGAGAATCATGCTTTTGCTTAGTACGAGAAATGATAAGCGGGTCTCTTCTCGGCCTTATCGTTCTTCATCTCAAGCATAGGTGCAGTTCAATTCTCAAAAACTCCTTTCATAGCTAAGTAGAAAAGTGGCTAATATCTCTCTCTTGAGGTCAATCAGTCATTATCTGCAACGAAAATACAAAACAAATTCAAATCTTTTGTGCGCTCGAGAACCTTTCTCTAAAAAACCCTTTTCAGGTAAGGACACGATTAATTTACTTCTGTGCCAACGCATAAGTCTCCAAAGGTCGAGCTGCGGCAGAAGTCGGAATTAACTTCGTCCATAAAAAACATCTATAACAAAATACAAACCAACTCAAATCTTTTGTGCGCTCGAGCACCTTTCCTTAAAAAAACCTTTTCAGGTAAGGACATGATTAATTTACTTTTGTGCCAACGCATAAGTCTCCAAAGGTCGAGCTGCGGAGGAAGGCGGAATTAACTTCGTCCATAAAAAACACAAACAAACAAAAACATGAGCCGAACTACGGTAGCTCTGATTCCTCAAAAAGGATACGTAGGCATTGGGGTAGGGCCCAGGCGAGCACAATTTTATTTTCCCTACATTCTTTTCCTCCTTTCTTTTGCATGCATTCCTCCAGTAGTATAGTAGACAGTAAGCATAGATTGAACACACCCATAAGATAGATAGCAAGAGTGGATACCGTAGAGTACTACGGGCGTGTGGGGTGCTAATACCTTCCCCTCGCGTAACAGACTCCCTTACCCGATCTCTCGGTCGCAAGACCGTGACTTCTCCCTTCTCAGGTTTTCTCGATGTTTATCTTTCCCTACATGTGGGATAAAAGACGTTCGATGGCGACTTCATTGTTTGATGATTTTCAGCCGGTTGTTTCAGTAGGGGCACAACTCTGACTCATGTTTTGGTGGACACTGGCTCATCTCTAAATGTATTACCCAAAAAAATTCTTGATAGACTTGACTGTGAGGGGTTGACTTTGAAGCCAAGCAACATAGTTGTAAGGGATTTTGACGGCTCGAAGAGGATGGTGCATGGGGAAGTGGATATCCCCATAAAAGTTGGAACCCAAACTTTCAATTCAGCTTTTTATGTAATGGACATCCGCCCTTCATACTCCTGCTTGCTAGGCCGACCATGGATCCACAATGTTGAAGCTATTACTTCTACGTTGCACCAAATGCTGAAGTATCTAGTTCAAGGGAAGATTATCACCGTTCATGGAGAGGAAGAATACATGATCATCTATCTCAATTCCTTCAGATATGTGGAATTAGATGGTGAATTCATTGAAACTCCATTTCAACACTTTGAAGAGGTCCCCCAAGAGGTGGCAGTAACCAAGGTTGTGTCTCAGGTTCCAAAGATTACAAGGCCACCACTCTGAATGTCATCTTTGAAGGATGCCAAAGCAGTGGTAGAAGAAGGAGGGTTCACTATTTGGGGACAACTCCCAGATATCCCATATAAGTCTGATAAGTTTGGCCTAGGTTTTACTTCAAGTGCTCAAAAGGATGTGCGCCGTGCTCGTGCTGGAGGACCGCCCCTGAAAATCAGCAACCGTGAAGTCAACGCAGTAGAAGATGGTGAAGATGGATGCAACCTATAGGATTGGATCTTCCCAACTGTCAATGGAGGTCTCAACAATTGGGAGGCTAGAGACTTTGTCCCGATCACTTTTATCCCACAGTAATTTGTCTTTACATTTTGTTGGATCTGTAATAGTGAAACAATTCGCACTCTTAAAACCTTGTGTCTTACCCGAGGCACAATGGTCCATTTGTAAGGGTTATTATCTCATTTTCATATGACATCAATGAATCATGGACGTTTTCGCATACAAACTTTTATGCTAATTGTTTTTTCTTTTACATTTTACTTTCTTTCAAAGATAGCTATACCCTTACACACAACCACACTGACAATGCAGGTATACATCCATTCGGGATCCCATGGGTAACGATACTGCTATGGCCTTTTATGACTTTGAGAATCTAATCTACCAAGCCGAAGACGAAGGTGAGGAAGATTGTGAAGTACCAGGGGAACTTTCCAGACTACTAAAACAAGAAGAGAGAACTATTCAGCCTCACGGGGAACTCGTGGATACAATCAACCTAGGTACCGAAGAAGACAAAAAAGAGGTCAAGGTGGGTGCCAATCTGGAACCCAACACCAAGGAGCGTCTAATTCAGTTACTACACGATTATGTTGAAGTCTTTGCCTGGTCATATGAAGACATGCTAGGGCTTGATACAAATATTGTGGTACATCATTTGCCTACAAGAGAAGATTGCCCGCCAGTAAAGCAAAAGGTTCGCCGCATGAGACATGATATGTCAGAGAATATTATAGCAGAGGTCATGAAGCAATTCAATGTTGGATTCTTGGCTGTCACCTCCTATCCTCAATGGGTTGCCAATGTTGTTCCCGTACCCAAAAAAGATGACAAAGTGCGAATGTGTGTGGACTACAGAGATTTGAATAGGGAGAGCCCTAAGGATGATTTTCCACTCCCCCACATTGATATCCTAGTCGACAATACGACACAACACAAAGCATTTTCCTTCATGGACGGATTCTCAGGTTATAACCAAATCAAAATGGCGCCTGAGGACATGGAGAAAACAACATTTGTCACACAATGGGGCACATTCTGATACAAGGTAATGCCATTCGGACTAAAGAACGTTGGGGCAACCTATCAGCGTGCCATGGTAGCTCTATTTCACGACATGATACATCAAAAAATAGAAGTCTATGTGGACGATATGATAGCCAGATCTCAAACAGAAGAAGAACATCTTGATCACTTATAAAAACTGTTTGAGAGACTGAAGAAGTATAAGCTGAGGTTGAATCCAAACAAATGCATATTTGGGGTACGATCTGGTAAACTCCTAGGCTTTGTCGTCAGCAACAAAGGTATCGAGGTCGATCCTGCCAAAGTTAAAGCAATACAAGAGATGTCTGCTCCTCGTACTGAGAAGGAAGTCAGAGGATTCTTGGGGCATTTGAACTACATTGCCAGATTCATCTCTCGT